ACGGACAACACACATAGGAGACATTTGACTTATAATTCTGTGTTGTTTCTGAATCAAAATAACTAAAGATACTTTAAACATTTATGTAACCGAGCACTAAGGTGTCGAATTAAATGCCAAAGAAATAAATTCTACTAATATCCCAGATGCACATGAGACCTATCAAACCAAAGGAGCAGGCAAATAGCACTACACTGCAAACCGTCACACCCAGTTTTAGAGAAATTGCAATAAATTTACCTGTGGGCACGCACTGCAAACAGCGTAGCTGGGAATCAGCGCTATGTATGAACTGCAATCCGGGGTCTTTAACAAGACTCATTCTCAATCATTCATAACGGCCTTTACGGACGGACAGACTAACCAAAACAAAATGACCAATCAATCAAAAGAACAAAAAAAGGACAGCAGAGGCAGCTTTATCTGTTGAGTTCAGGGATTTATTATGAACTTGTAAACTTGTAAGTGTTGGTATGAACTTGGTCTCCTATTAGCATAATAAACATGGGTAAGTCAGCATGAAAGTACCGAGGAAGACTAGTTTAGTGTGATTTAAAGTGTGATGTCCCTGCAGAAAGTGCTGTGGTTCAGAGTGAGGGCTCAGAGATTAAATAAGTCCTCTTTTACTGCCAACAGTGGGATAAACTGAGAGAGAAGATACTGCTGGTGTAGCTGTTGTGGTCCTGAGAGTCTATGGTGGATGTGACTTCATAAGCCTTTGCAGAAAGGATGGCACTGAGACACTGGACTTGCTCATACTCTGGGTTCCCTCTTTATTCTGGTACAAAGATAACAGATCACAGTCGTCATCAACAGTGTTTTATGCAGCTGCAACATTCAGGTCTGTTAACAAGGATTAGAACAGTTATAAGAGTGTATTACTGATCAGTGTACGCTGGGTAGCTAGTAAGCTAGTACCGTTAGCTAAAATGATCATTCACTCTGGTTTTTGCTGCTGCTCCTAATGAGGAATGGGGGACTGCTGTGTCTGTGTTCATTTCCTGATCAACCACAGTGCTAATGTACTAAACAAAGTTTTGAAGGAAACCAGGCTCTGTGCTTTGTAGTTGCGAATCCAACATGGTGAAAAGAGGACAGAGGCCTTCTGATTGGCTGACCTCTACTGTCGTTACCTCCGTCCCAGCCCCCCTCGTATCTTCCCTCCACCACCAACACCTCTGTTTTTTATCCCCCTTCAGCTATAAGTGCAAGTTTTGAAATGCTAGAGGGCGCAGTCGAGTGCTTGTATTCACTGATATAAGAGGTTGTAATCACAGAGTTGTGGTTGTAAGCAGTAAAAAAAATTCAGTAAAATTTAAATGAGAAGTTTGCAGCTCACAGTGTATTTGCTGATGACACCATGTCACGGTCTGGCTAGCAGACCGAGGGGAGGTGGGGAAACAGGACCCAAACGCCGGACTCTTCCGTGCAACAGTGTTTATTTACAGAGTGGTGAAGTAAACAACAATAAATTCCCCAGTGTCCCAGACTCCCGTGTTGTGCCTTCTTCCCAGAAAAGTCCCAGTGTTGTGCTCTCTGCTCCAGTGTCCCTGCACTCCCCATGCTCACTGCTCCTTCTCGTCCCACACTCCTCCTGAGGGAAAACAATAGAGGCAGCCGTTACACACTTATCCCAGCAGGCATACACTCACACTTGACTGTGCTTGAAGACTGACGTGAAGTCAAACGCAATAATCCCGCACCGGTGGAAGCTCCATCGCTCTTCTAAATAGCTCCCCCGACGAGCCCAGATGAGGAGCAGGTGTGTAGCAAGGACTTAAGGTGTGGCCAGTCCTCAAGCTAGGCCACGTCCCTCAGGCCTGAAGGTGCCTGTAACATGGCCACAGAAAAA